GAGAATATTGAGTGACCCTGTTTTCAAAATTATAATGTCAAGCCTGGGTTTGGGGAAGTTTGAAATACGGTGATGGTAATTTGATGTCTGGGAGTGTGCGTGCGCACATACGTGAATGTGCGCGTTTGTGAGAGAGAGAGAGAGAGAGAGAGAGAGAGAGAGAGAGAGATCCCTCACCTGGTCAGGTCTAATCCCCTCAGCCAAAAGCCCCCTAAAAAACCCAAAAGCCTCCCCATAAATCTTACTCTGAGAAAACCCAACAACCATGGTGTTCCAAGAAACCAAATTCCTCTCACCCATTTCCTCAAACACTTTTCTAGCCCCGACCATATCCAAACACTTAGAGTACATATCAACAAGTGCACTTGCCACAAAAACATCAGAACTAAAGCCATTTTTACAGGCCAATGAATGAATCTGAACCCCATTTTTTAATTCCCAACAAGAAGGCAAAATTGCAGAGAGAGTAAACTGGTTTGGTTGAGTCCCCTCTCTTCTCATTCTAGAGAAAAGGCTCATGGCTTTGTAAGGCATGTTGCCCCTAACAAATGCAGAAATGGCAGAGGTCCAAGATATGACATTGTTCTCTTGGGTTGATTCAAATATGAGGAGGCTCTCATATGTTTGCCCACACTTTGCATACATGTTGATGAGGCTGTTGTGGAGGAAGGGGAAAGAGGTGCACCCTGTTTTGATGATTTGGGCATGGGCTTTTCTGCCATTTTTGATGTTTTGGAGGTGGGTGAATTTGCTCAGCTGAGAACTGAAATCAGTTGGGGTTGGGGAAGAGATTTGAGGGGCTGTGTAAAGGCAGTTGGGAGAGAGAGTGTGAGGGTGAGGAGACTTTGGTTTTGTGTTGGGTTTTAGGAGGAGAACTCTCATAATATGCGTGCAGTGAAGGTTTTGTTTTCAAATGTAGCTTTCCAGTAGAGGATGATTGGTCTCTATTGAGATTTGAGGCAAGTTTTATTGAGAGTGAGAGTTTTGGGACAGATTTTATTTTCACGGGAAAATTATGCATATATCTCCTATAATTGAAATTATTTTAAATGAAAAAGTATATAAAGAGATCATTTAATTTGCATGCAATGAGGTTATCATCATATTAGATTTCAAATTGAGTGGTAGTGAGTATGTTATTGACCAGACTTACAAATCAAATAAACGTCTCGCAAGACACATCCCAAGCCATCCAACTTGATATCTAATAGCTATCAACAATTGTGATCTCTTTGTAACAAAAATAAATGGTCTCATAATATATAATCTCGAAACATTTGAAATTTACCTAAATCTATATATTTTTTGTCCTCACATTCATACCCATTTATTTGTCAAATTTTGTAAAAGACCTAATTGTCCATGTTTCGGACTCATGATTCGAAACTATATATTTCTTGAAATTTTGTTATTTTTTAATATTTTTGCATTTAGAATATCAAAAAATAATAATATCCTCAATTTTTTTAACAGTTCGAAATTTTCATTATTTTATTTTTACAATTTTTGGATTTTGAATATCCAAAATTTATTATGCAGCCCAAAAACTATATTTTTCAACATTTTAGAATTTTGAATATCTAAAATTATTTTTAACCCATAAATTTATCTATTTATTTTTTACAAAGTTTGAACTTCCAAAATCCAAATACTGTTAAAAATAATAAATTTTTGGGTTGAAAATTTTTTTGGATATTCAAGATTTGAAAATTTAAAAAAATAACTAAAATTCAAAAAATGTATGGTTTCCAAAATATAGCTGGTTTGATATTTTTTAAAAAAATGAGAATAAAGAACTACAAATGTAAAAATAGAAACAAGAAATCGGGGCTATCTCCCTTGTGGACAAATCGGGCTAACTCAAATCTCTACTTGATATGGTGAACACCCTACAATAATGAATCCAACACCCGAATAAAATACCTAAGAACACATTGGCAACAATGTGTGCTTAATATATTAGGAAATATATAAAAACAAAAAAAGTATTATGAAAAATCATCAAACCCAACACAATTAATAGTAGAAGGAACCCACATATTTACTTGGTTCACCCAAGATGGCCTATATCCACAGGCAAGAGGATAATGATACATTCACTATCCAAGGGAGAAATTTACGAGTTTGGTATTTGTAGAGATTACCTCATACAATAACAAAGAAATCTCAGATGAAAATTTCTTACCACAATATCATCATCAATCAACTCCTTTTTTCGTCTATGTTGTCCTACCACAATATCACCATCAATCAACTCCCCTCGTTGTCTCCGTTAACCAAGACCGTCATCGTGAAGAAGTCCAGATCAAATCCGGCCCAATACAAGGGTCACAATGGTACTACGGTTTGTACAAGAACCCCCAATCTCTACCTCTCAAAACTGCTCTACACTCTTTTTTTTTTTTTTTTGTTATGTTTTTTCTCTCTCTAAAAATGTCTTTTACAGACCTCCATAAAAGACTTGTTTTTTATGATGAAAATATCATTTAACAAAAGAGAAAATACAAAATGGGGTGATTTGCATTACCGTCCCAACAATCTCCACCTCGATGCAAAGTCACACCCTTGCCTTACCAAACATATCGCCTTATTCATCTTTCGAAAAACCTAGAGAACTTATCCAATTCCGCAAGATGTTTAGCCCAATAGCTGATATGAGCATGTCTTGCTCATCTTCCTTCATGCTTGTTCTTCTTATACAAACTCCACCTTCAATACTCACATTCTTGAGTTCTTGAGGAATGTTGTCTTTACACATGCTTTAGGTGAATCTATACACCTACAAGCACAACCGGTGCTTGATCTCGTATTACCGAGATCTCTTGCATAAGTCTTTCCCACAAAGCTTTTTTTATATTCATAACATTAACAATGCTTGTCCATACTCTCAAACTTAAAGTATGAATTTCACTCGTGACAAGAAAACAAGCCCTTGAATATTTGGTTATCTCAAGCCAATCAATGATCTACAAAAGAATTTTATGAATTTCCAATAAAGCATTCATCATTATAAGAAATGAAACAAATGAACAGATCTCACATGAAATTGTCGATGTAGGACAAGACTTGGACATTCCCCATGTGGCGGTTCCCTCCGGTCCATTTCCGGGTCAGGTTAGGGGAACATCTTAGTGATTGCTTCAACGGATCCAAACGAGCTCTTACAAGGCGCAAATTAAAAATAGGACCAATAGAGACTTCATAAGGGACCATTTTTACGTGGGAGCAATCTTTACTCTGTCCTTTTGATTATCAGAAATGAAATATTTTATATTAAAAAGGAGTTGCTATGGAATCTTTACTCCGTCCTTTTTAATATTTGCTCTGTCTTTTTTAATATTTTTATATTAAAAAGGACCATTTTAAATTGATTAACGTTGCTGTGGAAAGAGTTGAACCCTCACATGATTGAGGGTATCAGACATCAACACCGAAGGAGTTGAACCCTCCCCTGGTCGAGGGTATTTGATATCAACACCAAATATCATATCTGACATAAACACCAAATATTATTGTTGTATTGTCTGTTACCATAGGAATGCAATGAATTTCTACCACCCACCTAAAATGGGATAACATATAATTCGCCATTAGTTACATAACTCAAGGAAGGAAGCAACAAATAAGAAGGCAACTTAGGGATGGTGCAAACCTTGATATTGATTTTCAAAGCAATATCCTCAAGCAGTATGGAAAAACTCAGGTGAGCCAACTTGAACTCGCCACCCAGGTGAGTCTGAGTATCGCCGAGTTGGGTGGTCCGACTCGGGGATCTTAAAATTTTCTCAAAAAAATTATAATGCAGAGAGTAAAAGAGAGGGGCTCAATGGCATTTGAATATTTAGGTACCTGGGATCAAGGGTGAGGTTCAAATATTTTGTTTTGCGCAGATAGACTGTTTCGAAAAATTAAGGCTCATGTTAATTTCTATATGTATACAAAATTTTGATTAAAAAAATAATTTATAGATTTTTGCTTCTTCTATTGGTATGCACAGTACAAAAAATTGGGTGAACCACTATTTCATATTTTTGGATTATGGGTTTTTGACCTGGCACCCATAATAATGTCCCCTCAGATAGCCAACAACAAATTTAGACCTTTTGTTGTTGTTTTGTTATTTGTTAATGTGTTTGGTATTATTTCATTGTCGTCTTTTTATTGTATGTATTGTGTAAGGAGGAAGAATACTATGTATTGTGATTAATCAAAATTGAGACAAGAAATTTGAAAGTACCATCTCATGGCATACCCACAATAAAATTAATCCTCAATGTATGCCCCCTTCGCAAATTTGTGACATTGTTTTGTGCTTACAGATATTCCACGCTGTTTTTTTGAGTCACATTTGAAATATTCACATGTTCCAAATTTGATTGAAAACATGTGCAAGATGTTAAAGTTATTTAGTCCAAAATTTTGATAACTATCTAAGCATCATCAGGGTTATTTTATTGGAAAAATTGGATTTTTAGTCCTTGAACACCTGGATCTTGCACTGCGATTAATATTCAATCTTGAGACATTAAATTTTTTTTTGAGGTACATAAACAGTTCAATTTTACTTTTTCCTTTCTTATATGAAGTTCTTTATTTGGTTTATTGGTGATATCTCCAAATTTGGGGTTCAAAAAAAAAAAATCACTGTCATGAGTTTTCGCCGAGTTAGCAAATGCATGGTATCCCACGGGAGCACCAAATCTTTTTGCAAGAAAGAAATCCATCACTATATTAAATTAATTTACACCTTAAATATTTCAAAAAATTAACACAAAAAAAAAAAACATACTTCTATGCAATATATTGGTGTTTATTATTATTATTATTGTTACAAAATTTTGTATATTTTCAGTAAGTTTTTGGTTCAGCCTTGCTAACAAGGCAAGGCCGAGTTACTTGGCTGAGTTCGGGGAGATTCAACTGTCCAAAATCACTTTGTAGAACCATAGGATAATGATAAAGATTAAATCACCAAAATAGAATAGTGTCAAGTCATTTTATGCAATAATCCATGACTAATAATGCTTATCAGCATGACAACTTTCAAACACGAATTATGCTTACAGCATACAAAGACATAGGTTTGTGGACAAAATGTATCTAAAATTTTAATTAAATCTATTATATATCCATCGAGCGGCTAGGCATTAGAAGAGATTGTAAACTCAAGCTAGAACTCTAATTTCTGTTTATTGAATTTGAAGCTATAGAACTTCACTCTACAGAGGAATTGGCATTGGAATTTTGTTGAAGAGGCTACCCAAGATAAGATATACTTTAGTTTTAGAGAGAAGCTTGAAACCACTAGAAAATTTAGAAATTACACGTATAACTATGGGAATCTTTTACCTTTCTAATGAGAAAAGCTCCATCTATTCATAATCCCAATAAACTCTTACAAAAAAAATCAAATTTTGAACGGTTCAAACTAAATCGAAGGCTATGATAGCAAGTGATGATTTGTATCTGTAATATATATGGATTGTAAGTAATGAGACCATTTATCTTTGATATAAGGAGGTCACAATTCGTTACAACCAGTCGATATCAAATCTGATAGCTTACGTGCGTCACAAAGTTTGAGAAATTTCTTTTGAAGTTTGAGCTTGATCAAGATTAATTATAACCACCTTGTATCAAAGGTAAATGGTCTCATTGTATACTTTTTTCTTATATATATACATATACACAAGAGAAAAAGCAGGGTTGGCTGTTTTAAATTTTTCTCTAGAACTTAAGAATTCCCCCACATGGATTGCTTCGCTCCATTTTTGAACAAGAATTCCCATGAACAACTAGATCTCATCTCAACAAAAAGTAAGAATGTCAAAAACTTCAAGAATAGTGATAATACAAAAAAATAAATGAATCTAACAGAATAAATAAAATGCAGGTAGAAAATATTTAAATTTAATAAAAAGTTAGTCATAACTAAATTTTAAATGATAAAAATTAGTAACTAAAAATAGCAAAATCTTCGAATTTTTTCTTAGATAAAAATAATCCTAGTTTTCCAAGTTGCATATTCAAATATACAATTTCTAAAAATATTTAAAAAATATTCCATTTGTAGATAACAATATTAAGCCATGGAGTTGCCTTGGAAAAAATATTAAAACATAAGAATCATAACTTAAACAAATAGGTTTTCTTTGAAAAATCCTGAACGAAAATATAGGAAGATATGCTATATTTGACATAAAAATATTAGTGAAGGCATGCTCTATAAAGTTTAAAAGAAAAAGTCGTGCTCTAAAAACCCATACAGGAGATGGAACTTAGAAAGACAAAACCAGAGGAGATACAGACATGAAAAGTCAGTCATATATGCGTATAAATTGTGATTAAAAATATAAAATTTCTACAAATATCCAGAAAATAAATATTACTTTTATGAAAATTCCTTGAAAAATCTGAATCAAAGAAATTTAAAAAGTAACAAGAAATAATTAAAAATATGAACTTTCCTTGAGAAGATATATAAGAATAAAAAGGACAGTTATTTTATTTATCATAAAAAGATTAAGGTACGCATGTAGTTTACTAGATTCTATTCTACAAAAAGAAACAAGACTGCTCGTTTGCTTATCATAAAAGGAATTTTACGAACCCAATTTAAAAAAAAAAATTGAGTTTCTTTACTTCCTTCGCATCATGCTGTTATGTTTTATTTAAAGCCCTTCAAGTTTCCACAACACTAATAAGAGACAAAAGAGATAGATAGAGATATTGTACATTGTTCTTGAGAAGATTGAGAGCGGGGAACTCAAGAGGCTTAGAGAGAGAGAGAGAGGAGAGAAAGGAGGGGATTTTATGGGTAGAATCGTGAAAAGGTCAAAATCCAAAGATCAAGAATAGATGGCCACATTTATTTCATCGACCAAGCTTAAACTTCAAAAGATATTTTTTCGAACTTTATGACACACCGAACCTACTAGATTTTACATCAAATGATTGTAACTTGTAAGTAATTGAGATCTCCTTATATAAAAGGTGCTGTTTGTACCAGATTTTACATCAAATGGTTGTAACTTGTAAGTAATTGAGATCTCCTTACATAAAGGGTGCTGTTTGTATAGAGCCGAGGCTCTAAATAATTAAAGTAAATACACTTTCAAATAGTATCGAGAAATGTGGTTTCAATACTGGAAATTTTTGTGATAACGTTAAAATATATTTTCAATCTTTAATTATAAAATTTAAAGCTTAAAAAATAGTGTAAATCGAGCAGATTTATGAAAACTTGAAAATCTTGAAGAGTGACAGTCGAAAAATACATTACAAGATGCACTATTTCTAAAACTTGATATTCAT